TGTGTGTGTTACAGCATCTTGAAAATGAATACTTTCCTGGGTGTTTATTTGAAGCTTTTTTTCCAGAGTCCTTGAGCTTCTTGTTTTCACTCACAAAACGGGTCTGCTCATGCTCATAAATCCAGAGACAGGCTCAGCATCTGAATCTTACAAGCAAAAGCACAATATCCAAGTGGAATATGTATACACATGGATAGGTTTGCTAGAAGTTAGAAACTCTTGTTTTGAGGTAACACCTGATTCTCTGTGCTAATTTCTAAACCCTTAAAGACTAGTCTGAAAGGACTTCAATGATGTCACTCTTCCCACTGCATTCACACACTGACATCTTGAGTTCTTAGAAATAGCCTCGTCTGCCTTTAAGTATTTTCCAATCTCATTCAAAATGTCATCTAAACTCGAAAACATTTGGAACACAGAGCACTGCCTCCTGCCCTCCTTCTCTACAACACGACATAGATGGAGACTGGCCATCTGATACAGAAACGGAAGTCGGACTACATCCATATGCAGCACTTGTGCCCTGAGCATCCTGCAGAGACGTCGCTCCTTTTGTTTTGGTCACTATTAATGCAGTCGTATTAAAGGAAAATCTGTAAAAGAAAATGTAATTATTTTCTGTGCAGCGTATCTGCAGATCATTGCTGAAAAGGGTTGGCTTAAGGGCCTGTGCCACAAAGACAATGCAGAGGTTTGTATATAGGTTTGAGATGGGGAGATTTCAAGGACATACTAATTCAGCAGTAGATGTTATGACTTGATGCCATAAAATTTTGTCATAACTGTTTGTTACTTTTTTTTTTTTGTAACAGAGAGAGAGAGAGAGCAATAATTCTGCTATTCTTAGAATGAAAGTGATCTTGAAATTCCTTTGATATAAATGAAGGCTTTCAGGGTCACTTTTGAAAGAATTAGCAGAACACCGTGCAAACAGCAACAAAACTAGTTGAACATAGACTTGTCTCTGGGAAGTGTACGTAAATCATGGATTTCTCCAGTCTTAGAAGACCGCATCGCAATTCCATTCTTAAGGTACCATAGTTTCTGGTTTGCCTTTGAAAACCTAGGGAACATCAGCAAATTGAGTTACTGGCTAGTACAGATTCTGCCTGGTGCTTTGTCCAGAAACAAGAGTAAGCCACTGGGATTTCCCAGTAGTCATCATAAAGTTGACAATCATAGAGATGGCAATTTTCTGATGGCTTCCTTTAGTATGAAGTTTTCTGTGGACTTTAGGTTTTTGCAACTGAAATATCAGGAGGCAGTTATGATAGGAAAATTTTAATAAAGTGTGCAATAACCCTGAAAATAGTGTCTTGAATAATCTATATACTATTAGTAATCATGCATGCGTTGTGCCATGCATTTATAACTATTTGGTCATAAAAAATCTGACTGTAATGACAATAACTACAGTCACCATATAAAAATATACACAATTCTGAATGGCAATAGTTAATCTCCAGCTCTAGCAGGATTATCATGTTATGGTAAAGTGCAATGAATAATTACAGGTTGGACATAGCACTGACACTCAAGTTTGACATACAAGAATGGCTATTGTAGCATCATAGGAGCTTTGTGTGTCATACTTCTTACTTTCATAACACAAGATAAAACATGTAAATTTATTTTTGTGGAAATAATTGGAAATCAACTGGAAGAAAGATATTCGTGTGACAAACTTAGTTGAGAACTGTTCTGTTGTAGGGTACTCATGTACAGCCTTCAAGGAGGTCCATGTTCACTGCAAGAACCCACAGGAAAACATAAGTACACATTCTTTCAACAGACTTACACAGGATGTAGGAACTTTTAGACAAATCTTGTCCTGTAATTAAGGTGAGTTCTCTTTGAGGACAGTGAACCGTGAACCATAATTTCTGTTTTACATTCTGATGGGGACAAGGTCCAGTTTAAATAAGAAAAGGGGTAGGGTTCAGAAGTTTTTAAAATTTCCCATCTTAAGGGCAAATGTATTATAGTAAATAAAACATTCCACAATTCTAAAAGATTTCCCCCTGATATCTCCTAGGGTTTGAATGGTCCTCAGTTTGATAGTACTTAAATTCCCAACTTGAATGCCATCAATACTTCACAAATGGAAAAAAAACAAGCAAAAACTTGAACCAAACTAAAGAGGGGAGCATACAAGCAACCAGAAAAGGCTTGGGTTGGGGGGTTACCTGCACATCATGATCTCATATTTTAGGGTGCATCTTGGTATTCAGTGAAGAAATTCTTGGAAACATCTGTTTCACAGTGAGGTACGAATGTTTGGGTGATGCTTGGCAAGATCCTTCTGGGCTTACATTACTTCCTAAGATCAACTCAAGGCATTTTGGGTGTCCTATTAACTCTTCCAGATCATGGAGTTTTATTTCAGTAAATTATTGCTACAATTCTTCAGACAGAATCATGTGTTCTTGAGAAGCTAAAATCGCTTCTAAAATGCCACCTCTCTAGACAGTTGGACAATGAGAATTTCCTATTTGCACTACATATTTGATCCATGGAGAAATTTCCTAATACATAAACAATTCTATCACCATTCAAGTGCTTTGGAAGAGATTAACCATCGGAGCTTTGGTGGAATATGCAGCTGTACTCCCATGCATTTTGCAATTGGCAAGCTTGCCAATTAGCTTGCCAATCTTTTTTTTTTGCATCTGAAATGATTTATGTTAATTATAAAAGTCAAATAAGTTAACTTTAAACAAAAAGTAGCTGAAACAATGGAGTATTGCTGAATGTGGGCAAAAATAAAGGGACATGGTCTCCTCAACTTCTTAGTGGCCATCTTTACAAACAGGTGTGAATGATTGCAATCTTCACAAACAAGGAGTAACTTTGAAAGAAGAATTCTTTTCCCCAACTCCAAAGACTGCTCAGAAAATTCAACTTTAAACATAAGATCAGGGCCTAGAGGTCAACTGTCCAAAAACCTCTCTTCTCTAGCACAGAAGTTCATGAGATAAAGAGCTGGCATTTGCTGTGACACGACTTTACAGATGGTTTGAAAATGTAAGTGTGGCTATGAGCCGTCATCCCTACTTAGGCCTACAGTTACTGTACCCACAGGGAGAGAGACATTGAAACACAGTGACTGTAAGGTAGAATAGAACAAACACCACTCAACAAACTGAAATTTTATTCAAACGACGTCTATTTTAAAATCTGCCTCATTTGTAAGAGCAGAGCTCTTGCTTCACTAATCTATCACTGCCATTTCCAAAAAAAAAAAAAAAAAAAGTAACACGAGTGGGACTTTTTAAGAGTTCTAGTTGTATCTTGCCTTTTATAACTATGAATATCATTAATACAGTTAAATTATGCAAGCCAAAATGGTGCGAAATATCAACTTTCTTCAGGAAAAAGCTTGTTAGCTGATTGCGTAATTGTTGGGCATTTGTTTGATTCTACCTGGAAATAAATTGTTATATAGGTTCCTACTTGGTATGGAAAAGAATTTTTCTAGTTACTTTCTCCAACATGAATAGCAGACTTACTCCATGGAAGTACCCAGTAGACTGAGTACCTGCCTGGGGCAAAGTTTTAAACACTAACTTAATGGAAACATTTTCCTCAACAACTTTATATTTTTAATGTAAAGAGTCTGGGAGCAATTACACACAGTTAGTATGGCCCCTGTGGAGAGCGATGCTTGCCATAGGAGCTTAGTTTCTAATTAATGAGACAATGATACTCCAAGAAGCTACAAAATGATGCTATAGAGGCTATGGTAAACACTATGGTGATATAGTGATCATGGCCTGGCTTAATGCTCCAAACTTATTCCAAGGAACACGTTAGAGTTGGCAAGGACTGTTTAATGCTGGGATGGTGAGTGACAATAGCCCATTTTACTCTGCAAGTTCCCCAGATTTTTCCCTTTTCCTGTGTGAATTGCTATATGCCACAGCAGTGTATTTTCACCATCTAAAATAAGAACACTTAACTATGGAACGTTATCTCATTCTTTTTTTTTTTCTCTTTCACACATACACCGTGTACCCTTACATATATATGCAAGAACAATATGCTTAAAGTGCTCATTTGCAGGTGGGTGAGATATCCAAAAGCAACCATGCTGGCCTTCCAAATACACAGGAATGTTAAAATGATAGGCTATCTCAACTATTTTGAGTTTTAAACATTTGTTCACATGCTAATTAACTCAAATACCTTTTGAAGTTTTTGTGAAGTCATCCCAAAGTTAGATCTCAATGACCAACAACATGACATTTAGAATTTAATGGATTCAAATTTCTGTTTATTTTGTTATCATACAGTTGAATAACACTCTTGCTGTCTAGACAGTTGAGTTGATTTTAAGTGGCCATCTATACATTTTGTATTACCCTTAATGAGCTTATATATTTGGCTAAAGCTGATTTGACTTTCTAGAGAAAGGCCAGCCTATCTGCAAATGGACACCTTCTTTCACCCAAACACCAATGTACACTAAGACAGATATAAGTATATGTATATGTATACTTATATGTACACACAAAATGGATTGGGTGGTCCAGTCCTTTGGTTTAGACAGGATTAAATATGTACTTCCCATGTGCATAGGTTTCCTTTGATTGACCTGTTCAAACAGCAATCATGAAAAGTGACATGGCAACTTAGACATTTCCTATGTCTTTCCCCCTATCTGGAGACCACCTATTCTCTCTTCTCCATTTCTTTTAAGCATTTCTTTTGACTCTAGATCTTTCCACCTTCTGTCTTAACACCTCAATCCACCTATTCCTCAGAAAGACTCTAAGATCAATGTCTGGAAGTCTCTCTCATGGAGAACAAGATTGTAAAGAACTGTCACTCCTTTTATTACCTCTTCCCCCCAAAAGAAGCAGACCCTTGGATGCGTCATGAATAATGCGCTCTTGATCTGACTTGCCTTGTTACCCCTGGCCAGCCCAAGCAGCTGAGGTCTGAGCTTTACTCGCCCTGCATTGTTGTGCAACTCTGGCAAAGAAAAAAAGTCTCCACTCTCAGACTGTGGTGACGTGATCAGGGTTCTCTTGAATTTCTATGCATTCAATTTCCTCTCTCTCCTTCCGTTTGGCGCGTTTCTTTTTCTTGTGGTGCTTTTTGGAAGGAGGAAAAAAGGTTAGGAACACAGGCAAGATCACAAAACAGTGCAGAAGCGTGCAACCCCCGGTGAGCAGCAAGCATTTGAACAGTGTGAAGGTCAGGTTTGAAGGCACAAATAGGAGGGGGAGCAACCCAATAAGAAAAGAAGTCATGTTTTGCAAAATGGCTGTCCCATGCTCTTGCAGGGAGCTTTTTATACACTGTGTTCTGGTGTGCTCAGTCGCTAGTACAAACGTGTAGAGTAGTGGCGCACAGTGGTCAATGGCAAAATTCAAAGTGAAAATAAGGCACAGGATAGAAATGCAATCCATGTCGACATTCCACAGTGTCATTAAGCCCAGAACGCCCAGCTCAATTGAGGTGACACTGAGAATCAGCCACAAGTTTCCCAGAGGATGGATCACCAGGAAGAAAGTCAGGACTAACACGAGGAGAACCCCGAAACCTGCGATCAGAACAGGTACGATGACTGACAAACTGTAATGGTCTGTGAAAACAAAGGAAGGGTTAAACACGATGAAGCGGATACTCTTGGAGAGGGACAGGGGCCTCAACTTGTCCAGAACTTCTATGACTTCCTTCTGCTTGTCCCTGCTAGTCCTGGCCACCAGATATAAGCGCGAAGCGATGATGTTGTTCTCATCCCCCGCCCTGGAGAAAATGATATCATTACGGAAATGTTGGAATTCTGGCTTTTTTAAAAACGAGCTTTGTAGGACACTGATGAAGTCGGTCTTGTTATTGGAACTGATGTTGCTGACTTTCAGAAACTGATAATACTGTTCTACCCAGGACACTGCTGTAAAGCCACTACAGAGCCTCTGCAGGTCCTCCTGAACACTGCTGTTCCAGTACTCCAGGGGTTCATAGATGTAGAATCCTATCACAGGGCTATAGTTGCTGAAATACTTTTGCTGAACCATGGCATAGGAAACACTCGGGGAGTCACTGGCTAGGAGGTTGATGATGCTGGCTCCATCACTGATCTGCAAGCACCCCATGAAGGAGAAGGAGGCATAAATGAGATACAGGATCACCACAAAAGGCTTCACATAGATATTGGTAATCCATTCGTTGTAATGTTCTCGGAGGAAGTGCTGAATGAAATGGTGCTGGTAGGGGTTTGTCTCATGATGGGAGGTCTGTTGGTGCCCATCGCTCATTACTGTCTGGAACCACACAGGCTTGCGGTCCAAGTATTCCGCAGAAGGGATCTTACAGCAAAAGATGCTGTGGTACCGGTTTTGCTCTAGTTGTCCAGCAAAGACCAGGCAAGAGCCAAAGAAAGAGAAAATGTAGAAGTAGTTCAGTAGAATAGAGACACACATATTCTGACAGAAGACCTTCACTGCCTCTATATTCGTGAAAGGGCTGGCACCCATACCAAATGTGATGAAGTACAGGGAACTGGTCATGGTGTAGGTTACCATCACATCAGAATAGGCATCAGCTACCCTGTCTTTGAAGGGCAAATTCTCTTTGGTTCTCCGCCATCCGGATAGAAGCTCAAATACTCCTTTAGTTCCATGACCTAATAGTAAGAGAGAGAAAGAAAGAAAAGTTGCTTTTATTTCCACCTATGATTCAAATGGTTTCATATAGATAAGTGATACTAAACATACATACTCTATTCTTCAAAGTAGCATGTTTCTCTTGTTAGCAACTCAGAGGCAATATGTGTTCTCTGTGTAAGTTTGGGTAAAAACTGGCTTTATTGATATTCTGGGTGAAATAAAAATAATCGTTGTTTATTATATTTACCTGAAAATTTGTAGACACAGTGCTGTTTCCACATGGTATTTTCTCCCTGGGTGCACAGCCTTCCTAAATGAACCACGTGTTATCAAGAGTGGAGGCTGTCACCTGTTATCTTAAATATCAATGCATGTTCTTGACCAACTCATTCCAAGTCCTTTTAAATGGGTTTGTGTGCTGATTTGGAGAATTACAAGATGGTATTAAATAGTGAAGCGACTTTACTTTTTAAATAGTTGTGATAATATGCTCATCACCAATCCATACGCATTTTTGGTCCGTTTTAGTCTTTCTTGTGGTGCATGGGCAGACGCAGGTGCATGTACTCATGTATGTGCATGAGTAAGCTTTAGGGTGACGTCAGGGATCCTCTCTGATAGTCCTTCAACCTTGTTCTTTTGAGGCAGGTTCTCTTAATCAAGCCCAGAGCTCACACACAGGTAGGGCATGTCTCGCTAGCCAGCCTGTCCTAGGGATCTGGTCTCCACCTTCCAAGGCTAGATCATAGGTGGGCCGCTATGCCCATCTGGTATAGGTTCTGAGGATTCTTTGCTTCACATATGTGGATGAAGAATTTCTTTTCTAAAAAATTGCTGTGTACCTTTTGTTTTTATATCTCTATATACGTATTTATATATATTATTTAAGGGTTAACAGTAATATTTGTTTAGTCATACTTGAAAATCTCTTGTCTTCTCTCAGCTCTGTCTGGTTACTTTTAAGAAACTGACTGGTTTTAAGTAAGACCCACTTCCTCATTGGCAAAAGAAGAAAACAGCTGTGAAAACAAAGATAATAGACTACATTTGTAATTTCCCCCCTTTCCTCTACTTCCTTGAAGCTGATCTATCAGTCATCCCTTATAGTATATGAACTGGTAACTTTCTGATTGAGTGGAAATCTTCATAGATTATTCTTCCCATTATAGCACAGCAATCCCAAACGTGAACCATTCCCACGAGCTGTGCTTGGATTGTTCTCCAAGAAATGTATTAGCTAACAACGACACTTAAGGACACAGAATGACCTAGTTCACAGAAATCTGGACAATGGACCTTATAAGTTATCTAGATACTAGAGTTAATTAAGAGCTCTATACATGATTCGGTTCTCAGTACAGTTGGGATTGCTACAGTCTTTTATAAGTGCACTGGGTTTTACTGGTGGCAGATTTTGTCATTTGATCCCCAGCGTTCCTTTCCTTCCTTCCTTCCTTCTTTTGACTTGAGACTTTTTTACTGGAGTGCTTTTCATCCAGTGTCTTTTGTATGACAGTGTCACACAATTCAGTGGTAACTGGAAATCACCCAAGAAGCCTGTTGGAAAACCACAAGGAATTTTATCCTAAACATCCTCATAACCTGGAAGAGTCTTAGGTAACGCTCCCAAGCCCCGCATGGGTTTGTTAAATGTGGTTAACTTTCTTCCCCAAACAGTGGTGCTTTGTAGGAGAGTGAGCATTTAAATGTTCTTTTAAATGGATAGCTGAGTCATGTTTCATGAATTCCTTTTATGATAGCATGTATAAATTTAACTATATCTGATGTTAATCTTTGATATTTCAAAGAGCAATGACTCTCTCTGGGGTGCCATTATTAATTAATTATTGGTTAAGCAATAGAGTTCTTACCTCAAATATAAAGCTTTTGCTGTCTTTTCTGAATTTGTCCTGTCAGGGAAGATATTTTCCTAGCAAATAAAAAGGGTTATAAAAACTGCAGATGGGTAAAAGGCAGGCTTAAAAATGTTTTTGCAGGCAATTATATTACTTCCAACATATAATTATAAGCTGAACACCGGTGTTATTGGAAAAAAATGCAGTGAAATAAATAACAACAGTGGTTCATTCATATCTTCTGTAAGACTCATTGACCAAGAGGAAGTCATTCTCTATTACTCTCTTGACAACATAATCTATGATGATAGTGGTTAGGGTCATTGAAATAAGACTTTAATTAGAGCAGCTCTCTTTGGAAATGAGGACATTAGTTTTCTTTGTAGTCACTAGGGAGAGAAAAGCCACACGGTGCTGTGGCTAAATTTGGCTTGCCTTTGCTAATGGTCATTTCAATGGAGCATTAGGTAGCTTATGTAGGACAAGATTTTGCTTCACATAGTACAAAAGTCTCTATGTAGTACAAAAGTCTCAATGATGATGGGTCTGTTGGGTTTATGTATTCCTTTTAAAAGTATTATAGAATGAAAATGTGATCTCTTGACATGGTATGCTTTGTCTTATTCATAGGCATAGTGCATGTATTTTATAGGGTTTTTTCCACAATACTTGCTTTTCTGATTTTTACACAATTTGGTCACTTCTTAGCAGCTCAAATTCATTGGCTCCTCCAGCAATGGCTGCTAGTTCATGGCTTTATGAATATGGCCATGGTCAATCTCATCTTCTCAATTTTGTTCATCCTATTTTTGTGTCTCTCATTGCTTCTTGTGTTCATTAGTCTGTTCAAGGTCAGCTTTGTCCTCTTTGTCTCAAAGCTATATTTGAAGGTCCCAGTTATACTGACATTTTTCTGTTTCCTAAAAAAATCTTATCTAATTATTCACTTATTTAACTCCTTAGCCACAAGACAATTTGCTAATAATAAAAAATTTCCAAGGATAAGTTCTGTTCTGGTTAGGCTGTGTATTCTTCGAAGTTAGGAAATGAATTGTATGCTACTTTGATTCTGAAAAATGTTATTTTTATGCAGAATATATTAGACCATTAAAGATTTCGTGAACAGACCTATTACTATCTGTTATTTTTGAGACAGGGTCTCATGTAGAAAAGGCTGGCCATAACTATATAGCCAAGGATGACCATGAACCCTAAGCTTCCTATTTCCACCTCTGTAGTATTGTAACTATCTACCTGAGCCACTCTTTAGTGCTGAAAATTAAACCCAAGGTGTTGTGCATATCAGGTAGACATTCTATCCTCTGAGTTACATCTGCAGCCCATTAACCTCTTTCCAAACAGCATCAACTGAATTCTTAACTATGAATAAGCTCTAAACTGTACTTTTATCATAAATTCTAAATATTAATGTCTATCATTATAACAGTATAAATTTTATCCAGAAGGGCCACATACTGTTTAATAATGTACAATCCAATGTACATCTACCTAAGGCTTTTAAATAAGCCAACACATATAATGTAAAGGCAAACAAGAAACATGTTTTGACTTTCATGATCCTGAGAGAAACATCTAATATAGATATTTTAAAAGTAATAACCTAAGCCGAGTGGTGATGGTGAACTCCTTTAATCCCAGCACTCAAGAGACAGAGGCAGGTGGATTTCTGTGATCCACCAATAACAGACTGGTCTACAGAGTGAGTTCCAGGACAGCCTAGGATAGAGAAACCCTGTCACAAAAAAGCCAAATATACATATGAAACTATACATGCAAAGAAATAGTGTCATTAAGATGAAACCTTTAATATTTCTATAAAAAATAAAGATGCAGAAACATATTCAAGAAGAGAATAGCTCAAAGTGATTTGGGGTAGATACTACTCACGGTGTAAATCCTTGAGAAAATAAAATATGTGGAAATGTCTTTTCCTTTTTATATTGGGCCCTTGGATAGGTTTCTTAAATATGTATACTTCATTGTCATAAAGGTGTGTGTTGGGGGTTGCATGTATGTATTATCTTTATGACTTCAAAAACTCATTCAGTTTTTATGTTTAAATTGAGTTGCTTAAGTCAACAGGCATCTGCACGTATGAACTCACAGTGTATGTGACATACACAAGACCTGTGCAAGCCCAAGCTAGACCAAATTTCAGAATAGAGACGGGAGCTGGGCATGCATTTCTGCCCCTAGCTGAGGAGCTATTGGCAATTGTTGGTTGCTAGGAGAGGAAAGGCCAGTTTCCCTAAGAGGGGAGCCCTTGGTGAGCTGACTCTGCTCCAAAGGAAGACCAGAAACTTAAGAATATAAAGTCTGGTGGGAAGAAAAGGGGATGTGAATCTACAAAGAGGTGGAGGAGTGGGATTGAATATGATCAAAACATATTGTATTAAATATTCAAAGAGGTATTAAATCATATAAGTAGAACTTATTACATGGAGAAAGGAACACTTTGTAAATCTTTTGTATGTTTAATGTCAGGATTAATGAATCTTGAAACTAGTAGCCCTTTTGTCTTTGTAAGTCTGTTTTTGGGGCTGTCACATACACGGCAGGAAGTCTAGCCTCTGTCCTGTTATTTACTCATTCTCACAATATACTCACACTCATGGTAATAAAATATTTCCCCAGATATGGATAAATACTCTCTAAAAGCAAAAATTTCCTTAATTGAAAATCAATGGTTTAATTGAAAGAAAATCAAATTATTTACACATGTACTTGGTTAATTAATCACCCTTTCCAGATTTTACATTTTCAGTGAAAAGTACTAAAGACACAAGTATGGTTCATAATGTATTTTATATCCTACAACACAGAAAACACCTATTAACAACCTAGAATACTTATTTTAGTCTTATAATTATTTATTTTATCTATTTTTTATATAGTTGTATCTGTAACCTGTCAATTCACTCACAAAGAACTGGGGTCTTACAAATATTAAATAAAGATTTGAGATTATTTATTCTTGATGACAGTATACCTGTCTAGCAGGTCTGTTAACCATGGACATCCCCCTTTTTTTGTTGTTGTTGTTTTGCATTCTGGTGTGCTTTGTTTCTTGGTCTCTATTAGTCTCTACTCTGGTGCCACAACATTTCTCTATAAAGTTCCAACTTCCTCTTCTGTTTAGG